ATCTTGAAGGAATCGCCATACACGTTTCTATTTATATGTAGTTTTCAAGTAAAGTTTATGTCAATTATCTAGATTAATTTGTCTTCGAAGATTTCAATGAGTATCATACTTCTAGTCCTTTATGTTCTTTCATCGATTTTACAACATACAAGGCCTCAAAGATTTCAACACGTTTAATGTTAAACTTGTGGACGATCTTTCTAACTTTAAGGCATCGGTGTCAATATTCGTGTCTGATGTGCCATGTGCTCCGGTGTTGTCCACCTTTTTGCGGGGCGGTGGGGTAGATTGATGGAACGTCCGGTCGTCACGCTGAAGACCTGGATTCGATTCCCCACAGGAGCACAATATGTGGAGCCCATTTCTGGCGTCCCCTGCCGTAATATTGCTGGAATATTGCTAAAAGAGGCGTAAAATCATACTCACTTACTCACCTTTTTGCAAACACCTGGTATCATCATAGTTTTTAAGTTTTTCAGCGTCGGGGGAGGCAGCTTCAGTTAACTGTTTCATTCTTATTCATGTATTAAGAAGAAGATTACAATAACGAGCAGTGTCCCTACAAAAGTCGTTGTCACAAATACTTCAGACTACTACGGGTGGTGGGGTAGCCCAGTGGTTAAAGCTTTCGCTCGTCACGCCGAAGACCCGATTTCGATTCCACACATGGGTACAATGCTTGAAGCCCATTCTGCTGTCCCGTAATATTGCTGGAATATTGCTGAAAGCGGGGTGAAACTAAATTCACTCACTCACCCACTCAGTACTACGGTGTGCCTGTCCCAGACTTGAATATTTACATGCCCTCGTGAGTATTTCACTACACCTGCCATTGCTGTTTGTACCATAACTGCTGTTACGTTCACTGACGACGCCGAAGACCCGGGTTCGAATTCCCACATGGGCACAATGTGTAAAGCCCATTTCTGGTGTCCCCCGCCCTGATGTTGCTGGAATATTGCTAAAAGCGGCGTAAAACTAAACTCAGTAAGTCTCTCATAACGTGGGCGGTGGGGTAGCCTAGCGGTTAAAGCATTCGCTCGTCACGCAGAAGACCCGGGTTCTCACTCACTCACTCACTCACTCTGTGACTTTAAATCTTAACTCACTCACTCACTCACTCATAATGTGCATCAGCAAGTTGAAAAAATCATGTTTTGTATTAAACCTTGTCGAAAGTTATCAGTTACTGATATCGGACAAAATAGGCATGACAACATAGATTGCTTCGATATTTTATTGCACAGGCCATATGTGCTTCTGTGGACGTAGACGTTCCATGTCGTCAAAGGTTAAGGCCATCTACTTCCTAGCAGCAACACAGGAGTTTCCACTGACAGTGTAGGCGCCCTCTGCGGCCTGGACGGCACCCCTGCAATGTGAAGGTGCAATCGTGAGACAAGGATGAGGAATTATCAGTGTTGCATTTCCGTCGATTTAGTTTCATGACACAGTGTGTGTGTGTGTGTGTGTACGTGCGTGCGTGTGTGTACGTTTATAATAAGCTCTGATATAGGTTCAGTCCTTTCACATAATCTGTCCATATCATTAGATCTAAAATAAGTGTAAACTACAAAATAGTTAGATCTCCAGACACGATAATTGCTATCGTAAATATTAGATCTCCAGAGAAGGTGAGTGAGTGAGTTGGGTTTTACACCGCTTTAACCACTGAACTACCCAGCTTCACAGGGTACATTGACGTACATTTCAGTGCTCTCCAGTTCACAATTATTATGCTGTGTATGTTATTCACAACAAAAATACATACGAACTACGTGTCGTGTTATCACTTTACAATTTCATCATTACTCTATATAGGAATACATTGCTGCGGTTTCATTAAAGGGCCTATATTCTAACCTGTTACATCTGGATGTATAATCAACGTTATTTTACACAATTCTCTTTCCGCTAGGGTTTCAGGCTGATGTCTGTCAGACTATTTCATGGGCAAACTTACTCAACACAGTTCAATATGCACGAATTGTCGTAGTAGTTGCCGGCGGTGTCACAGACGGGGTCAAGGATGCGGGGACACAGGCACTCACAGTTGACAGTGCTGGCTGTGAAGAAAGATGAAGGTGAAAAAACCATTATACTGGTAACTCAATGAGCTCAACAATAAACATTTTCTACACGTTATACCTTGACTGATCCTTTAAATGACCATTTTGGAGGGACAACGTTTTCAAGATTGCTGGAGTTCGAGAGGTTTCCACTCGTCCACAAAGTTGCGTCGACTGGGCACGTCAGAACCCTGTAGGTTCGAATCCTGGTTCCAAATGTGTCAGCATCGTTCGCGTGCTCGTTGGTTTCACCAAAGATAGATGCCTCAGACCTGCCACCTAGACCATGCTTATCTTAACTTGACTCGCCGTTTTTGAATTCTCATAGCAACATAAGAATATATTGTGATGTCTTTCTCGAGAGGGTAACAAATATCACAGATCATTCTGTCATTAGCAACAAGTGGATATGACATTCCTGAAAGCGTGACAAATATCACAGATCACTCTGTCCCGAAAACGTATAAATATTTGTGCATTATAGTTTCATGACTGACTGACTTTTCTGCAACATGAAGTCAAATATCACCAAGGTCTTCGAGTCTGTTTCACATGCTGTTATCCACATTTCACAGCCATCAATTGTGTCATTGTTTAAAATTCATATAATGACACTTATAGCCAGAGTTGATAATCTCCTTGCTTACATTTGTACAGTCAGCCTGGTATACTGACTGCTTGTGTAAGGACGACCACGAGCGAGCAGGATGTGCCGCTGGTAGGAAACCCGCTGAGGTTGGGATGCAGCTCCGCTCCGCTCACCTCATTTCGTGTTGGTAATTGCTGTGTATTAAACGTTACAAGACATTACAACCTTTGCTTAAGGCACTCTTGGCAGAACTGTACTGGCAAATTATCGAGTGAGTGAGTATGGTTTTACGCCTCTTTTAGCAATGTTCCAGCAATATCACAGCAGGGACACCAGAAATAGACTTCACACATTGTACCCAACTGGGAATCAAACGGCCTATGGTCGAACATGCCTGGTTGTACCAACCAAATATCACCCCTTGGAAAATTCACAGCGACTTGTACCTATAATTTGATAAAACTGACAAAACAACGCCCTGAGGTTGGGATGAAGCTCTGCTCACCTCATTTATGTCTTGGCAGCACTGTACTGGCCTATGATCGAACATAGCTGGTTCCACTAGGCAAATATGACCCCTTTGAAAATTCACATCGACTTGTACATAAAACAATGATTATACTCACCACACAGCACCGCAGCAAGAACAGCCAGAATAACAGCAGCCTTCATCTTGATGTTTGAAGTGGAGCTTCTCTTCCGAACAGGATCAAAGTATCGACTGGATTGAAATGACGGTATTTATACACTACACAAGCCCATATTAATATTTGAAGTAGCATATGTGTCTCCTCAGTAGTTTAAATTTGTATTTATGTTAGTTGTAAATTGTGTAAGTTCTGATTTTATGCCTTGTTAAAACGCTATGTGCTAGGCACCAGATTGTTGTGAGTATTTTATGTAGTATCTGTCACTAAAATCAGTTTTTTTCTCTTATATGAAAAACAACCTTGTATGTATAGGTTTATCAGCCTTACAAGGTGGTTATTTAAATAACTACCGTAGTGAGGGTGACTAAACGGCTTACACCAGGTGTGAGTGAGTGAGTGAGTTTAGTTTTAAGCTGCACTCGGCAATATTCCAGCTATATGACGGCGGTCTGTAAATAATCGAGTCTGAACCAGACAATCCAGTGATCAACAGCATGAGCATGGATCCGCCCAACTGGGAACCGATCACATGTGTCTTCCAAGTCAGCAAACCTGACCACCCGATCCCGTTAGTCGCCTCTTACGACAAGCATAGTCGCCTTTTGTGGCAAGCATGAGTTGCTGAAGACCTATTCTATCCCGGATCTTCACGGGTCTTTACACCACGAGGGCATGCTTATTTAATACGCGTGTAATGTATTAGGCATGATGAAGATTATCAAAATAAGTACACTTTCATTGTTTTTAAATGGAAATAATTACCCTAGGGCAGTTATTCAGTTATGCTAATAAAACACTTCCAAGAACAATGGACATAACTTTCCCTAGTGGTTTAAATTTCTTTTTCTCCCTCATTTTGTAATTAATTTCCCATTATGTATTCGGGCTGTACATTAGCCTAGTGGCTAAAGTGTTTACTTCCACACATGGGAACAATATATGAAGGCCATATCTGTTGTCCAACGTCCTGATAATCCAGCAATATTGATAAAAGTGGCATAAAACTGTACTGGCTTGATGATGTTTTAGTTACATGTAGTTACATCATAAGGCTTATTTTCTGTGAAATATGTTTGAGTGGCAATATGAGGGCATCCTTACGACCGCCAGCGGGTTTCGTATGGTAAGTGTGAATATTGTCAATTTTGACATGACACGCACCTGTTCGCAAGGCCACCAATCTGACTGGCTGACTTATATGGTAAACAAACTAGTCATGCCATTCAGCGAAAGGGATACCACATTCATTAATTATCACGTACATCAAATATTTTTCAGAATGATTTTAATTTTTTCCAATAATCAGCAAACCATGTTCAGATGTAACAGGCGTCAAAGTAGTCCAGGGTAACGTCATCGCATTTCAGTGTGACTGGTGTTATTGCATGTTCCAAGCACGGAAATTTTAATATGTAAAATTGGGCGTTATGTTCAAAAACACCTGCAACTCAAACAAAGCTCCTTGTTACTGCGACAAGAAATGTTAAAATATGCTGATCAAGAGTTTACATGTATTTAATGTGGATGTGAAGTTGATTCTACATGGCAAAAAAACATTATCTGCTCACAGCAACCTCCTTGAAGCAAACACTTATGATTTGTGGGATATAAAATAGAGTTTTAAATCGACTGAGAGCTATATATTACTTGAAATTGTATTTCATGAGGTTTGTGTACTGTATAAATACTAGAATTGCAAATCCATTCGATACTTTGATCCTGTTTGGAAAAGAAGCATCAAGATGAAGGCTGCTGTTATTCTTGCTGTTCTTGCTGTGGTGCTATGCGGTGAGTTTTATACCGGTTTCATCAGTACACTCAGATGTATATTCAGAAGCAGTGGTGCATTTTCCTCTGATACTTTTGTAAATACCAGATTCGGCTTGAAAGCGATCCTTATCTTGTCACCATCACAGTACACCCGTGGATGTTGGTTTCAGAAAGTGTCGACAACACCCTAATGAAGCTACGAAAGCTTTCGTTGTAAATTTAGTAGCCAAAAGTCATCTTGACAAAATATCAAAGTGTCGGCCAAGGGGTACCATGTAAAAAGTATTCATGATCGCAAACAAATAGTGTTTATTGAGGGACATGTATCATTATAGCTTCATTTTTCTGTTCCCATCTCGATCCACAGCCAGCACTGTCAACTGTGAGTGCATTTGTCCCCTCAGCTTGGAACCAGTGTGTGACACCGCCGGCAACTACTACGACAGTCCCTGCAGTTTGAACTGCGTTGAGTAAGTATATCCATAAAACATTCTCACAGAGATCCGTCTCAAAGGGTCTCAAATCAAAGTAGGGGCGGTGGGGTAGCCTAGTGGTTAAAGCGTTAGCTCGTCACACCGAAGGCCCGGGTTCGATTCTTCACATGGGTACAATGTGTGAAGCCCATTTCTGGTGTCCCCCGCCGTGATGTTGATGGAATACTGCCAAAAGCGGCGTTAAACCATACTCACTCACTCACTCACTCACTCACTCACTCACTCACTCACTCACTCACTCACTCACTCACTCACTCACTCACTCACTCACTCACTCACTCACTCACTCACTCACTCACTCACTCAAATCAAAGTATAGTTCACCCCTGATACAACAGATTAGAAAATAGTGATTTATCGCCCGCATAGAAACAGCTGCTAATTCCTCAGAAGACTGATACAACGGTTAAAAACGTTCGTGTTGCATCTTGTCAACGTTTATATGAAAAGTGATAACATCACTCGTAGGTCTTTATCTTCTGTGTGATTATGGTAAAAACGTTCAATATAATATCCATGATCTCGACTGTCACTGAAAGCCGCTCTTTGTAAGAAATAACGAACGTAAACAATATGTCATCAACATGTATCTGTTTGATACGACGTTTTAGTGTAGATGCTAACTCCGTTATCAAGCAAGTGATATTCGACAGTATGAACAAGCAGAATATATACATGAAGGATATTAGAGTTTATACAGTTAATGAGGTTGATGTACAGTGTGGTGACATTACTTATAGTTTTGTGATGATATATAATAGTATGAAGCCATTTGGACAAAAGGTAGGGGCTGATTAATCCTGATTAATGGAACTCCCATTTGAAGGAAATGCATAAGTAATAATTCCTCATTCCTGTCTGACGATGGACCTTCACATTGCAGGGGTGCCGTTCAGGCCGCAGCGTCCGCCTACGAAATCAGTGGTAGCACCTGTGTTGCTGCCAGGAAGTAGATGACCATCGTGTTTGACCACATGCATCATCCAGGGCCAAAACAGCGCATACTAGTTGTGCAATAAAATATAGAAGCAGTTCAGATGGTCTGATATTATTTATACCCATGACTGTTGACACGTTGAATACATACCCGTGAAGATCCGGGTAAGAATTGATCTTCAGTAACCCATGCTGACGGGATCGGGTGGTCATACTGGCTGACTTGGTTGACACATGTCATCGTATCCCAAATGCGTAGCTCAATGCCAAAGCTGTTGATCACTGGATTGTCTGGTCCAGACTCGATTATTTACTGACCGTTGGCCATATTGCTGGAATATTGCTGAGCGCGGCGTAAAAATAAACTCCAGTCACTCACAAAGCACATTTATATGAAACCATTTGAAACACAAGGGAATGTGTTGCCGAATAATACATGCAAACATATATTCTATCTTGGGTAAGGGCCGAATATATCACACATTGGGTTAAAATTAAGTGATAGAGTGTGAGTGTATCACATTTCTCTGAATGACTTTTAGCAGCATCCACAATCACTGAAGCTCATATTGGTTGTGAAATGGAATGGTGAAACATATACCTGGTCAGTTCTAGTCTTTTGACATTTTTACTCGCCATGTCTTATACAAGTGTGTATCGCGAAGTGTCTCACTATCTGGCACGATAGCTAAGATTGATTATTGACCTCAGAGTGAGGTGGACACCCTGGTCTCTTTAGGAATATATTGCTCACGTACATTTGTGATCATGTCAGCAGTAGAGAGGGTCCACATAACAGACCTCACCATATCCTCGCTTCCGTGTGTAAGGCTACATAAACATTAATAAATGCTCCTCAGGTATATTACTTATCAAGCGGACCAGGGACGAAAGAATTTTTCTATTTCTTCTCTATCTGTAACAAAGGTAATGATGGAAGACGAATTTATTACTTTCTCAAATTTCTAACAGCATTAATGAATACATTAGCAGAAAGACTTATTAATCTTGTTTCACGTACCTGTTCATGGATTTTAAGGCACTATATTTTTAATTGATGATGAGATATCTATAACAAAATTATTAAAGTGTCATTAAACGAAGCTCTTTATTAAAAACATTGCACACATTGATCATGAACAGTGTTATACTGAAGATGTATTCAGAAAAGGCTGATCACGTGTCGGGAGCCTGCGAATTAGAAAAAAACATCCTTTCTTTTGGGAGCGGCTACATCTTTACAATATAAAATAGTCTATTACTTATTGTTTATCTTCAGTTAAGAAAAACGTCTTTTTAAGAACCTGTGTTTCAAGGTTCGGTTTTCAACTACTTCGGCTGAAACAATTTAAATATCCTTCAGATGCTGATGTAACTTAAATTATGTTCAGTCTCCATTCATCAGTCTCCCCATCATGATTTTGGAATGCTGCTGAAAGCACCATAGAACTTCACTCGCCAAACTATCAATTGATTGTATGTGCGATATTAAACATCGGAAACAAGAAAGTCAGATTCATGCACACATATGAAATACAATTTTCTCCGCGCGCAAGACACTGAAACACATAAACAGCCAAAGGGCAACATATATCAAATAAGCAGCCATAGAAATGTATACACGTATATAGTATTAAACAACAACCATTTGGCGACATATATATATATGTATATTACATAAGCGACCATTGGGCGACATATATATACGACCTTTGGGCGACAGTCGCCTAAAGGTTACATATATACATGTACGCCGTACACTTTAACTTTGGGCGACACAGTATGGGCGACACCAAAATATATTCTCTATTTGTATATATTTACAAGGTTTTATGCCCTTTTCATGTTTAATTGTCAAATTCAAATGTATATAACCCAAGCAGAATAATAAATCAATGTAAGCTTGTAATATAATAGCAAACACAAGCTTCAAGAGAATCAAATATTTCTCATTATAGAATAATAACGAACGATCAATTTGCAACTCGCATCACCCCGCATGACACACCGTCAATCGTCACTTCACGTGTTAGTGTAAGTTCGAGTCGGCGCTATCGGTCACTGGACACGAAGTGGAATTTTTAGGCTTTCCCTCGACCTGACAGTGGTTACTACAGAAGTTAATGTTTATTGTTCCACCATAGATTGGGGCAGAGAATACTGAGTTGACGAATTCAGAACGAGCAGAAGTTGCTGTCAGTGATGGCCTAGCATATATGCTAGCAGTGACTGCATTGGAATGTGCCGCCATGGTTTGCGGAAGGGCAAGGTCACCAACATAGGAAATCATGTTACTCAGCTGACGGTGCTGTACAGTTGTGATACTAGAGTAATGGTTCACGCTCTGAATGTTTTTGTTTCCCGAAATCTGCAATATCTCAGTCCCAGCAACACCACTGGAACGAAGAGACTGAATCATGGTCTTTCTAGCTGAATGGTTTGTCAAACGTTTGCCGGTAATGCCAACTGAACTAGCCATTCTCCTCATTATGGATCCAAGTTTATTTTTGCCAACGGGACAGCGTTCAAACCAAGGATGGTTATCTTTTGAGCTGACTTTGAATTTGTGGCCAAATAAAAAGGCGTGTCAGGAGAGCAGTAATCTCTAGGACGGAGACTGGCGTACAACTTGTACAGGGATACGGGACAGCGAGCGTCGTTAGTGGCCCATGCACGGGGAGATGACGTCTCGGACGTTGCAGATGTCACGGGATGTGCGGGTTTTAGTTTGGCGTTCGTTCTACTCCAAGAACTCCCCTCTATCAGAATCTGTTTTCACCTGAATGTCTCCCCATCTCATCAAGTGATGTGGTTTAACACTTCAGGTGCCAAACTGCCTGGTATTGTTCCACCACAATGTGTTTAATATCGCCTCTGGATTACTAGAACCTAATTCTCCGGAATCGTAGAGTGTTTGGATTTCCTCTAGAGACAGACTTTCATCCCTATTAGGTACGTTGCCGAGCCCCTCACTCTTCAGGATCTCTTTTTTTGTTGATAGAACTGCGCATACTTTGGAGAATTCCCTGTCATTAAGTAACGACTTTTCGTACCCCCTAGCTTTCAAATATCTGTCAAAACTCGACAATTTTTATGTAAGTGAGCTGGGCTCATAATCCTCGCCTTTAGAGTTCTTTATTTCAATGAAAAAGGTGCACAAAATGTCACACAGTTCTGACGGGGGTATTGTTTCAACGGGTCTTGTGTCACCATTTGACTTGATGAACTTCATAAGAATGTTTATGTCATAGTTAGTCTTTCGCCAAGTGTTTTGATTCCGATTTTGTTGGATGTAACTGTCAATGTTTGAGCAATCATAGCTGAAAGAACTTTCATCATATACCTCCTCAAAGAAGTTATCTTTCATAAACTCTTCCAAAATATCCTCCGGTAGTGAAAGCTGATCATTGTTAGTGGGAGGGGCCATTGATACAGTTTCAGGAACCACAGTAAGTCTGTGTCTGTGTTCTTGCCTTATTTCCCCATCCAAAGTTTTGACATTAATAACACTGAATGTTCCTAGAGGTTTAACGGTGGAAGTGACTCTCCCTCGAACTGTTCCATCGATTTTCACGGAGTCATTAACACGAACGGGAGTGACCATGTTTGATCAAGACATTGTCAACAGCAAAACACAGCAGACGAACTTTTATCTATTTTCAAAAACTGTAAATTAATTAGAATTTGTGATTGATACGTATACCCGAGTTCTTGTAGTTTTTAATATTTAACTTTTTATGTGTTTTTGTAATATTTCAAGTAATCACGATCATGTGAGATGTCTCGTTGTAGTAACATTTGTAGAATGAATGAATTCACGTGTTTGTTGTGAATGAAAAAGTAGTTCCGTCACAACGTGACCTAATTGAGAGGCTATCGGTTATCCAATCAAATCGCTAGAATCTCAGGTCAAGGTGTTACGACACAGGTCAACGCGATACGACACTCGTGTGACGTACGAAATTAGTATGCAACTACCCATACGTTGACCACGTGGGTAATAAATATATATAAACATCTATACGTATTTGTGCGTCATATATATATATAGAGATAATCACATAGATAAAAACAGAATGCCTTTTTCTCCAACATGTTTCGTTCTTTACTCTTTAGGGAGATTGTAGCAGTTACAGTATGACGTCATTACATATATATTGTGACGTCACAATAAGGACAACATTCTAGAGCGAAAAGGTCACAGCTTGCAATGGTTTAACATTGGTTTGAACTTGTCGATGAAGAAGTGTTCTTTTAAAATTCGTTTTACTTTATCCGAATTTTGAACTTGATAAAAAGGAAATATTGTAAATTTAACATCGTTTCCTTTCGCACAGACATCTAGATGTTCACTCAGTGGGATACATCGGGTTTCAGGACACTTTATTTGTTGTTTGTGGACACGAACCCGGGCTCTTATATTTTCTGATTGACCAATATACTGTTCATTACAGCTTGTGCATGTTATGACATATATTATGTTTTTGGAAGAGCAGTCAAAATTCTGTTTTACATAGAATTCTCCGTGTCTCGTGAAAGTTACAGAGTGTCCTTCAACAATATGTCGACACGTTCCATAGTTACCTCTATTGCATCTAGACACACTAGGATTTGATAAATTCTGTTTCTTTAAAATAAATTTGGCTTTTGTTAGTATCTTTTTAAGATTCTGATTTTGTCTTTTGCTATTTGTTATTTTTCTAGATTTCAGCATTGATTTCAGTTTTTCATCTTGTTCTAAGATGCACATATTTACTTTATGTTCTGGAACACATTTGGGTTCAACGGATTATAAGTAGCTACAAAAGCAATTACTTTTTTCCTCATTGGTTTGTTTCATCGTTCCTGTCAAAAGATCTTCTCTATTATGCTGTAAAGCTTTATTTATTCCGTCTTCAACAAGAGATTTTGGATATTCCCGTAATAGTAAAAACATCATTCATTCAGTCAGCGGGTGGCCTGGTTTGAAACTATTGCACATATTCTTCGTGCCAGGTTATATGGATACACATACATACACACACACACACACACACACATATATATATATATATATATATATATATATATATATACAATGTCTGTGTGTGTGTATATATA